GGAAATAGAAAGAGGGGAATGGTAAGGCAGTGGTGTTGCTGGAAAATGTTTATTTTTCCTAAGGGCTTTACTCAAGATACAGCCAATAACTTTTGTTATTTTTTCTTTTTTTTTTTTAGTACCTTTTTGAAAATGGAAGGGTAGATGACATCTTCTCTGATCTTTATTATGTTCGTTTCACTGAGTGGTTACATGAAGTTTTGAAAGATGTACAGCCCCGGGTCACTCCACTTGGTAAGAGTCTCCTTTTCTTTGGATTTCTTTCTTTTCTACTTGGGCTTTAAAAAAATGTTTGAAAAATGTTTGTTTGGCTATGATTATAACGTGTGGGAAAGGGGCTATAACTCTTAAGTGGCACCATTGGTCTCTGGTGCTTTTCCTGATAGGAAAGGAGCACTGCTCACCGGAGAGGGCTGCTGCTCCCAATATGGTAAGGACACTTGGGGCATGCAGAACTATCATTTTTTCATATCCAAATTTATTTTAAAATATTTTATTTTTAGTGTATGAGTGTTTTGCCTGCATGTATGTAAGTGCACCCATGTCATGCAGTGCCCACAGAGGTCAGAAGTTGGTGTTGGATTCTCCTTGGAACTGGAGTTGCAGACAGTTGTTAGCAAGTCATGTGGGTGCTGGGAATGGAACCTGGCTCCTTAATGATTGAGCACACTCCAGCACCTTCATGTCCAAATTTGATTAAAATAAATGGCCAGGGGACTCAAGTGCTAGGAGGCTAAGGAAGGAAGGAAGATTGCTTGAGCCCAAGAATTTAAGGCCAGCCTGGGCAACATTGTAAGACACTTTTTTTTTTTTTTTAATCTTTTTGAGACAGGGTCTCCCTGTAGCCCCAGCTGTCCTGGAACTCACTATGTAGACCAGGCTGGCCTTGAACTCACAGAGATCCGCCTGCCTCTGCCTTCTGAGTGCTGGGATTAAAGGGGAGCACCACCACGCCCGGCTGTAAGACACTATTTGAAAAAGGGGGAGGGGGGCATGATGGTGCATACCTTTAGTCCCAGCATTTGGGAGGCAGAGGCAGGTGTATCTCTGTGAGCTTGAGGCCAGCCTGGTTTACATAGCAAGTTCCAGGACAGCTGGGCTACACGGAGACCCTGTCTCAAAAAAAAAGACAAGAAAGAAAAACAAGTAACATTAGAATCCTTATTACAATTATTAAAGAATATTTTTCAGCCAGAAGCCTTCAGTCCCAGCACTCAGGAGGCAGAGGCAGGCGGATGTTTGTGAGTTCAAGGCCAGCCTGGTCTACATAGTGATTTCCAGACCACCTGGGGCTACAGGGAGACCTATCTCAAAAAGACCAAAAAACTTTTTTTCTATGAGAACTAGAGAGCTGGCTTGGCAGTTAAGGGCAAGCACTATTCCAGAGGATCTGAATTTGATTCCCAGAACCTATGTCTGATGGCTCAAAACAGCCCATAACTCCAGTTCCAGAGGATCCAATCAGTGCCTCAGACCTCTGAAGACATGTGCACTCAGTGCACATACCTACACACATACACAAATAACTAAAAATATGGTATGGAGAGATGGTTCAGTGATTAAGAGCACTGGCTGTTATTGCAGAGGACCCAGGTTTGGTTCCCAGTACCCACGTAGCAGCTAGCAACTCCATAACTCCAGTTCCAGGGGAGTTACGGAGTTGCTAGAGCAGTTGTAGACCAGGCTGGCCTTGAACTCACAGACATCCGCCTGCCTCTGCCTCCTGAGTGCTGGGACTAAAGGCATCTGGCTGACAACCCACCCTCTTCTGACTTCCATGAGCATTGCACAACACAGGTGCACTTACAGACACTCATAATACATAAAATAAAAATAATAAGGAATTTTTTTAAAAAATCTTTGGCAATGATGAACCAGAGTGCTCTGCCTCTGCCCAGAACATCAGATACCTTTGATCTATTTACCCTCTCCACCTTACTGAATAAAATGATTTAATTTTTTAAAATGTGGGACGTTTCAGTGTCTCACACCTTTAATCGCAGAGGCAGGTAGATCTCTGTGAGATTGAGGCCAACCTGATCTACGTAGTGTGTTCCAGGCAAGCTGGGGCTACATGGAGACCCTGACTAATAAAACAAAAAAAGAACAAACCCTGTTAGCTTAGCATGGTACATACTCATCATCCCAGCATTCAGGAATATAGAAATATATAGACTGGCCTTGAATTCAAGACCCTGATTGAAAAGTGAAAACATAATTGTGACTTTATCTACACTCAACATCTCAGCAGTATTTGTTTTCAAAGGAACATCATAAGCATTTCAGTGAAATATCTGACTTGGGGTTGATTTTTGTTTTAAGTAGCTTTTCTTGTCTGAGTAATCTTAGGGGTCTAGATCAACTGAAGGGGAATTACAGAGAATTCCCACATGAAACTGGGTATTGTGGTGTATGCCTATAATCCCAGCAGTTGGAAGGTAGAGGCAAGGAAGATGGGAGTTTGAGACTCTGTGTCAATCAAAAGAGAAATGGAAATTCCCATTGACCAAAGTTCATAGTTTTATATTGAGTAGGGCTCACTTATTTCCTAGACCTTTTATAGGTTTGTATTTATCCTTTTGTGATTAGTTTCTTTTTGTTAGCAATGTGCACTTAAAGCTCCCATATGTCTTTTCATGCCTTGATTGCTTGATTTGTTTACTTTGTCTTCCAGGCAGGGTCTCACGTAGTATCCCAAACTGGCCTCAGAACTGTGTAGCTAAGGGTGACCTTGAGCTTCTGATCCTTTTGCCCCTCCTCCCAAGTATTTGGGATTACTTGATGTGTCACCAGGTCTGGTTTACCTGGTACTGGAAATTGAGACTCAGGGCTCCTGCAAGCTAGGCAAAAATTCTGCCAACTGAGCTATAGCTCCATCCTTTGTTTTTGATTTTTAAGACAGGGTCTTGTGTAGTCCAAGCTGACTTCAGACTCACTGCTTAGCCTGAACTCTTGATTCTCCTACTTCCACTAGTATCACAGATGTACTAGATGTACATCATCATACCAGGCTCCTTATTTTTAACATTGAATCATTCTCCAATGCATGAATTTGCCTCATTTTACTTAACTGTTTATCTATTGAAAGACATTTTATCTTTGTTGTTTCCAAGTTTGGGCACTTGTGAATAAAGCTCCTATGCAATTTCAGTGCAGGGTTTTAGTGAGCAGATAACTTCACTGGAACAGGGAACAGATCCCAGAAATAGAACTGTATAAATAAAGCTTTGACAAAGTAAAAAGGCAGTATACCATAGAAAGGACAGTCTTTGTGTGTGTGTGTGTGTGTGTGTGTGTGTGTGTGTTTTAATGTATTTGAGTGTATTGCCTGCATGTGGTAAGTGTGCCCGTGTTGTGCAATTCCCTCAGAGGTCAGAAGAAGGCGTTGAATTCCCTGGAACTAGATTTACAAATGGTTGTTAGCCACCATGTGGGTGCTAGGAATTGAACCTAGGTCCTCCATAAACTGCTGAACCATCTTTCCAGGAAAGGGCAGGCCTTTTTTTTTTTTTTTTTTTTTTTTTAATCTTTTTGAGACAGGGTCTCCCTGTAGCCCCAGCTAGCCTGAAACTTACTATGTAGACCAGGCTTGCCTTGAAGTTACAGAAATCCACCTACCTCTGCCTCTGGAGTGCTGGGACTAGAGGCCTGTGCCACCACACCTGGCTAGGACAATCATTTTTAACAAATGATGTTATAATAACTAGACCTCCACATGTAGAAAATCTAAACACAAACCTTAAACTCTCATGAAAATGGCTTGGTATGGTGGCACACCCCTTTAATCCCAGCACTTGGGGAGGCAGCAGCAAGCAGATCTCTGTGATATCAAGGCCAGTCTAGTCTACAACTCCAGGCCAGCTGAGGCTGCAGAGAGACCCTGTCTCACACACATGCACATACAATTTTCATGAAAGAATCACAGACCAAATTTAAAGTACAGACTTGTAAAACTCTTAGATAAGAATAAGGGAGCCAAGCATGGTAACTAACATACCCCTGTAATCCCAGGGAGGCACGTGGATCAGATGCTTCAGGTTATCCTCAGTAACATCATTCAAGCCCAACCTGGGCTTTCTGAGACCTTGTCTCAAAAAAGCAAAAGAAGGCTCTGGAAGTGGTTCAATAGGGTAAAACTGCTTGCTGCACAAGCATGAAGACCTGGAATTCAGGTTCCCAGCATTCACTGAAGAACTGGATATAGGGGCTAGAGAGATGGTTCAGCAGTTAAGAGCACTGGATGCTCTTGCAGAGGCCCCAGGTCCAAATCCCAGCACTCACACGGCATCTAACAACTGTCCTAACTCCAGTTTCATGGGATTTGATGCCCTCTTCTGACCTCCAAGGGCATTGCACGACATCGGTGCACTTACAAAAGTGCAGGCAATAAATACACTCATACACATAAAAATAATAAATAAGGGGGGCAACATTTAATGGACACAACATTTCTGTCTGGAATAATTAAAAAGCTCTGCAACTAAAAACAATAATAAAAAATATATTTAAAAAAAAATTTATGTGTACAAGTATATTGCCTGCATGTATGTGACTGCACCTGTGTCATGCAATGCCGCGGAGGTCAGAAGGAGGGCTTCACATTCCCCTGGAACTGGAGTTAAGGACAGTTCATAGCTGCCATGTGAGTACTGAGAATCCAACCTAGGTCTTCTGCAAGAGCAGTCAGTGCTCTTAACCACTGAGCTCTCTCTCCAGCCCCAAATAAAATTTTTTTTTTAATTCCCGTTTTTTGTTTTGTTTTGTTTTGTTTTTTCGTCTTTTTGAAGCAGGGTTTCCCTGTAGCCCCAGCTGTCCTGGAACTCACTATGTAGACCAGGCTAGCCTTGAACTCACAGAGATCCGCCTGCCTCTGCCTCCCAAGTGCTGGGACTACAGGGGGTGTACCACCACGCCCAGCTCAAATAAAATATTTTTGAAAAGAAAAACTGGCTGGGCGTGGTGATGCATGCCTTTAATCTCAGCACTTGGGAGGCAGAGGCAGGGAATCTCTGGGAGTTTGAGGCCAGTCTGGTCCACATAGCGAGTTCCAGGCCAGTTGGGGCCACAGGGAGACCATGTCCCAAAAAGACCAAAAGAAAAAAACTGGATGTGGTGTATAATCCCACCACCAAGAGAAGGACAAGCCTGTCTCAGTGTAGCTGAATCAGTGAACTCCAGGTTCAGTTGAGAGACCCTGTTTGGAAACAGTAATACGGAAAGTGATTAAGATCGCTGATTTCAACACACACATACACCAAAGTTACCACTAATCAGTGTAGTATGTGCTTGTAGACCTAGCACCAGGGAATCTGAGCCAGGAGTTTTACATGAACATGAATTTTAAACCTGGTATTGCCATTTTTTAAAATGTTTAGTACTCAAGACCTGGCATGGTGGTGCATGCCTTTGATCCCAGCAGGCAGAGGCAGGTAGATCTCTGTGAGTTCCGGGCCAACTACAGCTACAGGAAGACCCTGTCTGAAAAAGACCAAAAAAAAAAAAAAAAAAAAAGTGTACTACTCAATATTTTTTTTTAATTTATTTATTTACTTTATTTTTTAATGTTTATTGTGTGTGTGTGTGCTCATGAACTCACAGAGGTGAATGAACAAATTTTTTGAGAGTCAGTTCTCTTCTAGTATGGGTTTTGGGGATGGAATGAAGCTCATCAGGGTTGCACAGCAAGCTTTTTTTGAATCATCATGCAGGCCCTGTATAAATTTTAATTTTAAAAATTACTCATGGGGCTGGGTGTGGTGGTACACACCTGTAGTCCCAGCACTTGGGAGGGAAAAGCAGGTGGATCTCTGTGGCCTGCTGGGACTAGAGGGAGACCCTGTTTCAAAAAGACAAAAAAAATTACTGATGGGGGTGTGTGGGGCCATAGGTGGGGAAGAGGGTCTAAATTTAATTAAGAGCTATTGTATGAAATGCACAAAACTTAAAAATTTTAAAAGATTTGGGCTGGAGAGTTGAGTTAGTGGTTAAGAGCACTGACTGCTTTTACAGAAGATCCGGGTTCAATTCCTAGCACCCACATGGTAGCTAACAACTATTCATAACTTCAGTTCCAAGGGAATCTGTCATCCTCTTCTGACTTACTCGGGCATTTCATGACAAGTGCACTTACATACATGCAGACAATGCACTCATACACATAAAATAAAAATAATGAGATTGTTCTTGGTAACCACTTTTAATTTTTAAAATAAATTTTCTAATTGTCTACTAAAACTTTGAAAAAAATTACTGGTTAGGAAATGGGGTTTCATCCCTGGAATCCATGGAGTAGGAGAAAAACAATTCCTAAAATTTATCTTCTGGGGGCTGGAGAGATGGCTCAGTGATTAAGAGGACTGACTGCTCTTGCAGAGGACCTGGGTTCGAGTCCCAGCATCCACACGGCAGCTACGAACCGTCCTTAACTCAGTTCCAGGGGAATCCAAAACCCTCTTCTGACCTCCGAGGCATTACACGACAGGGGTGCACTCTAATACATGGAGGCAGTACACTCATACATACAAAATAAAAAATAAAAAATTTGTCTTCTGACCTCCACACACTTGGTGTGGCATTCCTGCACTTGTGAGTGCACCCTCACACAGTACACACAGACACATTCAATAAATAAATGTGAAAAATAATTACTGAGCTTGGTGTGATTATCCCAAGCCTTTAAATATTTTATTATTTTTATCCACACTTTGCTGGCCTTGAACTCCTGATCTTCCATCCTCAGCTTTCTACATGCTGGGAGTATATGCTACCAAACGAAGCCTTGTTCTTTTAAGAATCATTGTGAACTTGTTGGGCGTGGTGGCCTTTAATCCTAGCACTTGGGAGGCAGAGGCAGGCAGATCTCAGTAAGTTCCAGGCCAGCCTGGTCTACATAATGAGTTCCAGGCCAACTCCAACTGGGGCTACAGAGATACTCTGTATCAAAAAGACAAAGAAAGAAAAATAAAAGAATCATTGTGAACTTGTATATATAACATTTGATATGATTCAAGTCATTGCAGTTGTATTTGCCAATGCAGAGACCATATTTTGAGGCATTTGGAGCGTTTTTAAATTGCCCTTTCTCAAGTTCTTTTAACATAAGCATAGTCTTTGGTAGCTCCCTTGATTTCTGATTTGACAGAATGTTCCAGTTTCATCTCTGACATTTCTCTCCCATTTTAGTCTATCCCTTCGATATGGAACCTCCCTTCTTTTACTGAGAAGTGGTAGTTCAGGATTACAGTCTGAGTACAGGTGATCATTTCTCCTCTGTTGACCATTTAGGCCGGCAAGTGAGCAGACCTGAGAAAGTTTTCAAAAGATACAATATATTAGGCAGAGGCAGGCGGATCTCTGAATTCAAGGCCAGCCTGGTCTACATAGTGAGTTCCAGGACAGCGGGGACTACAGGGAGACCCTTTCTCAAAAAAAAAAAAAAAAAAAAAAAAAGATGCAGCATATCATTTTCATGCTTGCTGTGGGGTTTCAGAACTATAGGACTTTCCTTTTTGTATCTTATTTCTCCTATGTCAGGGAGTTGTGGATCTTTAACATTAAAACTTACTTTAAATTATGTGGATTGGAAAGTTAGGGGGAAACTAGACTGCCAGAAGAAGCAGAGGTAGCAGAGTGAACCAAGAGGAGGACAATATGCCAAGGTTTTCCTGAAATTGTTCCAAGGAGATGGCTTTTCCTTAGGCGATCTGTGTTGTTGCTTGTCCTGTGTTGTGGGGGCTTCAGATATATCCAGGAACAAAGTGTTTCCTGTTCCTGCTGTGCCATAATGTGTGTAGTGAGTAGACAAGGAGAGAGACAGAGCTGGGCATGGTTATGATATGCTGTGGAATCCCAGCACTCCAGAGTCAGGGGCAGACGTGCAGGACTGCAAGTTCTAGGCCAACCTGGAATATATTGAATTGCATGCCAGTCTAAGCTATAGAGGGAGGAGACCGTGTCTCAAACATAAACAAAAAAGCCAGAATTGCTTTAAAGAGGAAAATGCTCTAAGTAGTAAGATGTCCAGCTTTGACAATAACAAAAGTCTGTATTGGGCAGATTGTTCTTTTTCTCTTCTTACCTTCACTCCTGCCCATGGAATCCTGAAATCTGGAGGAGAGTGCTTTATTTGCTCATCTGCTAACCATGCCCTCAGTATACAAACATTTGCACATTGAGCACATAGAGGTGCCATAATGGGCAAATTGAATGGTGTGTTCCTGGTTATACAGGGCTCTTTGGACTTTAGAACTTGGGTCTTAGACTAATACTTACCCTTTTGCAGGAAAGTTGTAGTAATTCAAGTATCAGTCTTCACTTTTGTTTATGAAAATAAGTTTGCTTTCTAGAGACAATAGATAAAGAAGATTAGTAAGGGCCAAGAGGGGTATGCATTGGGTCATGGGCACCTTGAAAACATAAAAGCTCTCTTTTTTAAATATTTATTTTTATTTTATGTGTATGCATATATTGCCTACATGTAGGTAAGTCCTCTTGTGTCGTGCAATGCCCTTGGAGGACAGAAAAGGCTGTCGGGTCCCTGGGAACTCAAGTTACAGTTGTTAGCTGCCACGTGGGTGCTGGAATTCGAACCTGGGTCTTCTGCAAGAACATTTAGTCTTCTTAACCACTGAGCCATCTCTCTAGCCCCAAAGCTCTCTTTTTCTTTATACTTTTTTCCTTATCATTTTTTCTTTTTTTATTTCTGTTTTTATTTTGTTTATGAGTGTTATGTCTGCATGTAAGTAAGTACACCCATGTTGTGCAGTGCCCACGGAGGACAGAAGAAGCCGACAGATTCCCTGGAACTGGAGTTACGAATAGTTGTTAGCTGCCATGTGGGTGCTGGGATTCAAACCTGGGTCTTCTGCAAGAGCAGTGACTTAACTGCTGAGCCATCTTTGGAGACAAGGTCTCCCTTTAGCCTCAGCTGTCCTGGAACTCACTATGTAGACATGGCTGGCCTTGAACTCAGAAATGTGCCTGACTCTGCCTCCCAAGTGCTGGGATTAAAGGCGTGTGCCACCAAGCCCGGCCAGATGCTTTTTTTTTTTATTTTGTGTGTATGAGTGTATTGCCTACAGTGTAGGTAGGCATGTTGTACAGTGCCCTCAGACATCAGAAGAGGGCGTCAGATCCCCTGGAATTGGAGTTACAGACGGTTGTTAGCTGCCATGTGGGTGCTGGGGATTGAACCTGGGTCCTCTGCAAGAACAGTCAGTACTCTTAACTGCTGAGCCATCTCTCCAGACCCATAAAAGCTTTCTTAGAGCAAATAGAATTTGGTTTGTAGTTTTCTGTAGTGAACTTCCCTTGAACAACACAGTCCTTTTGCCCTAAATTAGTATCTGGGATTAATGGGGAAAAATTTTTAGGTTCCAGCCGTCACATAAAAGGCTTTAATTCTCAAAAGTGTGGTTCCCCAGAGCAGCAGCTGCAGCACTATCACTGTAGAACTTAATTAGAAACAAATGGTCCTTATCAGCTCCTACCTCCAAAATTTGATTGATGCATTTTGTTGTTGTTGTTGTTTGTTTTTTGTTTTTAATGTGTATGAGTGTATTGCCTGCATGTAAATGAGTGCACCTGTGTTGTGCAGTACCACAGAGGTCAGAAGAGGGCTTCAGATTCCCCTGGAACTAGGGTTAAGGATGGTTTGCAGCCACCATGTGGGTGCTGGGAATCGAACCTTGGTCCTCTGCAAGAGCAGTCAGTGCTCTTAACCGCTGAGCCATCTCTCCAGCCCCAATTGATGTGTTTTAAATAGCTTTCTAGATTATTTTATTACACTCAAGGAATACTTTCCTTGATAAGACTTGTGTTCCTGTGTAGTCCTTGTCACTTCTGGTCCTGGGTGTTTGTGGGACCTCTGCCATCCAGTTGTTCCAGCGGTACTCTGTTCCACCTAGGCTATGTTCTGCCCAGCCACGTGACTGAAGAAATGCTGTGGGAATGCAAGCAGCTTGGGGCACATTCTCCCTCCACACTGCTGACCACCCTCATGTTCTTTAATACCAAGTAAGTGTTCTAGAAGCTCCATTCTTAACTGTGGCATCTGCCTAGTGAAGAGAGTGGAAAAACAGGAGGACTTCTATATTCTCTGACACATCTAAGAAGCTTTGAGCTACTTTGAGTCCCTTTTAGCTACATTTTGTGTAGCAAATGGTAAGGCAAATAGCCTCGCTAGACCCTTGCAATGCATTTTGATATGGTTCTTCCTCTGGACATTGTGCTTGGACATGGGGCTGCCCAGATCTTAGGGAAATGGGAAGTTATTGTATCCTCCTGGCACCCCTCTTTCTGCTTTTCACTTGTGGTTCAGGTACTTCCTGTTGAAGACAGTGGACCAGCACATGAAGCTGGCATTCTCCAAGGTATTGCGACAGACAAAGAAGAATCCTTCTAATCCCAAGGATAAAAGCACAAGTATCCGGTATCTGAAGGCCCTTGGAATACACCAGACTGGCCAGAAAGGTATAGAAAGCAGGGATGACAGCAACAGATGTCATGCTCTGCTCTCCCACTATGGTGCTAGTGATGGGGGTGGTGGTTTGAGGTTCGCTGGACAAGAATTCTCCATTCCCTTCTGAGCCAAGAACATCAAACTTTTCTTGAAGAAGTAGGAAAGACCTGGGAAAAGTAGTCTCTTCCCTTTCTTCCTTCCTAGGATACTTCCCTTGATAGATAGGACTTGTTTCTAGTTGGGGTGACTGAGTGCTTAAGGTTATTGATCTGGGCCTGAGCCAAGATAATCTGTTATAGATCTCTGTGTGTGTGCGTGTGTGTGTATACTTTCATGGGTGCCACATCACAAGTGTGGAGGTCAAAGGACAACTTACAGAAGGGAGTTGGTTCTTGCGTTTCCACCATATGAGTTATTGGATCAGACTCAGGTCATCAGGCTTCATGGCAGATGCATTTACACACTGAACCATCTTAGCCTTTGTTTTTTAATAGTTACAGATGACATGTATGCAGAACAAACAGAAAATCCAGAGAATCCGTTGAGGTGTCCCATCAAGCTCTATGATTTCTACCTCTTCAAATGGTAAGGAGGGTTTATATATTGAACATGTGAATGTATATATTTGCGTACATGCTTCTTGTGTATGCATTTCTTGTCAGAGGCATTCTATATAGAGTCCCAGTTTGAGAGTAAATCACTTCCCAAAAGCTAAATATAAAAGTCAGATATGGGAAGCTGATTGTGGTGCCGCATGCCTTTAGTCCCAGCATTCAAGAGGCAGAGGCAGGTGGATCTCTGTGAGTTCAAAGCCAGCTGGGGCTACAGGGAGATCCTGTCTCAAAAAGATACCCCAAAAAAGTCAGATGTGGGGACTGGAGAGATAACTCAGCAGTTAATAGCACTTGCTGCTCTTGCAAAGCATCCAGGTTTGAATGCTAGCACCTACATGGTGGCTAACAACTGCTGGGTCCATAACTCCAGGGGTCTCCAACGCCCCCTCTGACCTCCATGGACATTTCATGACAGGGGTACACTTAATATGTATGCAAGCAATACACTCATACACAAAAAATTAATGGATAAAAATTTTTTTAAATAAATATTTTTTAAAAGAGGTGATGATGCATGCCTATAATCCCAGTATTTGGGAGGTGGAAGGGAGAGTATCAGAAGTTCAAGGTCATCCTTGATGACATAGTAACCTTAAGGTTGCCTTAGATCTAGATCCTGATACCCCCCCCCCCAAAAAAAAAAAAAAGCTAAATAATAGAAGCAATTTTGTCATGCCAAGCCCGGTTGCACAGGCCTATAATCTCAGGTACTCAGGCTGGGGCAGGAGAAGTATAAATTCAAAACCTGCTTAGGCAATTTTTGAGACCCTGTCTCAAAATCTTAAAATACCACCGGGCGTGGTGGTGCATGCCTGTAGTCCCAGCTCTTGGGAGACAGAGGCAGGCAGATCTCTATGAGTTCAAGGCCTGCCTGTTCTACATAGTGAGTTCAGGACAGCTGGGGCTGCAGGGGGACCCTGTCTCAAAAAGACAATAATAAATAAATAAATAATAAATAAACAAACCAGAAAGGGCGAAGGGAGGAGATAGCACTCAGGGATAGAGTGTTTGTCTAGCATGCCCTGAGTTAAGTCCCCAGTACTCAAAGAAACAACTTCATTGGCTTTGTCAAAATGTATGATACGCATAGTTCTGTGGTTTCAAAAGGGTCACTGAACCCTGATAGTCACTTCTCATAGAGAAGATACACAAAGGCCACATTCTTAGTCACATACTAGTCATGACCCTGCACCAATCTGGCCCAGATTTTGTCATTGTTATCATCACCATAGGTAGGGAGGATGTTCCTCTCAGCTTCTCTGTTTTCTCTTGTCCCCTGTGGTTTGGTATATCATCACATCAGTGAAGGAGCTTTTTTGGTTTATAGATCTTTGTATTCATTTTAAATGAAAACTTTCGGTGGTAATCTTTACACAATGAGTATTTCCCATTGCTAGCTCATGTCTGCTGCTTTGAGCCTACTATCCACACTTCCACGCAAGGGAATTAAAAAAGAGAGCTCTTCCAAGGAAGCATTTCTAGATTCCCTACCTTTTCCCTCTGGCTATTTTCTCTGTATCACTTAACAATTATTTTGTATATATTTGTGACTTTAGCTGCCCTCTCCCTTCATCCCTATGTTCCATAAGATAGGAACTGTTTCTGCATACTTTTTATTACAGACCCAGCACACATAGCTCTCCAATAAATTTTGAATGGATAGATGAGTAATTGTGAGATGATGGGGTGTGCTCAGTTCTGAAAAGATACAGCATCATAGGGTATAGGGGGAATGAACCTAGGTAGGACCCCTTTATCATGAACTTTGTTGCTGAGTAAGCAATGTGAATAAACAGACCTAGATCTTCTGAGTTTTGAAGTTAGCTCCAAGTGGGATATAGATAGATTTTAGTCAAAACCCAGGGGTGCTATACAAGTGCAGCAACGTGCTAAATCACAGCTTGCTTATTATGTAAGAGTGACAGGAAAGATGCAGCTTGTCAATGGCATTTAGAGTGGTCCCAGTTGAGTTCCAAGAAGTGGTATGTGATAGTGCTTGGAATTTAGTAGTTAAGCTGTTGAACCTCCAGAGCTGCTGCTTTGAGATATCATATGTCTTGGGAGGGTTAAAATTTATAATGCTGGCGGGGCATGGTGGCGCACGCTTTTAATCCCAGTACTCGGGAGGCAGAGGCAGGCGGATCTCTGTGAGTTCGAGGCCAGCCTGGTCTACATAGTGAGTTCCAGGACAGCTGGGGCTACAAGGAGACCCTGTCTCAAAAAGACAAAAAAAAAAAAAAAAATTTAATAGCGCTGTTACCCATCTTTTACTGAAATCTTCTTCAGCCCCCAGAGTGTGAAAGGCCGGAATGACACCTTTTACCTGACACCTGAACCAGTGGTGGCTCCGAACAGCCCAATCTGGTACTCAGTCCAGCCAATCAGCAGAGAACAGATGGGACAAATGCTGACCCGGATCCTGGTTATACGAGAAATTCAAGAGGCCATTGCAGTGGCCAACGCAAGCACCATGCACTGAGATGGCTCTGCTATGGTAGAAGAAAAAAAACATCCAGGAAAAACTGGATAGACTTTTACGCTAAAGAAGAGGCCTCCATTTTTTCCCTTTTTCTTTTTATTGGTGTAGTTACGAAACTTTTCAGGCTACTTCTGTTAAAATGTAAAAGAAAACATTGCCCCCTTTGCATCTTCATAGACCTGTGGCAAACCACTGGTTCATGGGGGCTCTAGATTTTCTGAGAGCCAGATGTCCTAGAAACTTGTTGGCTGATCTCCCTCCCTTTCTCCCTCTCTCTCCCTCTCCCTCTCTCCTCCTCCGTCGGGCATAGGGAAAGGGCTTGGATCATTTGGAGAAATGTGGTCCCTTCCACAAGAAAGATGGAATTGATGATGGATCAGCCCTCCTGGGAATCTCTCCAGCTGGCTTTCATTCTGAACTGGCAGACTTCACTGACCACAGGGAGCCACATTCTTTTCTTCATGCTCAGACATAAACTTAGCATCTTAATGGAAGAAAAATGAGGGGAATTTCAATTATGATTTATTAAAGACAGTTTCTATTACACCCTCCTTCATGACAAGTGACATAGATGTTAAAATAAAAACTTTACCATGCCTTTTTTTTTTTTCCTGGTTTTTTTTTTTTGTTTGTTTTTTGGTTTTTTTTTGGCCTGACATTGAGGCCTTAAACCTGAGGCTCCTGTGCCTGATGGAATTCTTGTAACATACACTTGTGTATCATATAAAGATACCACTCTTTCTCTTATGTATTCTTATTCTAGTTGTTTATTAAGAATGACAAGCACGTCTTTTCAACAAGCTGGTCGATTTCGTGTCTTTATTTGGGGAGAACGAGCCAAGATCTTGCAGGAGTGGAGCTCTATAAGGGGTGGGGTGGGAAGCAGCCCCTGCCGAAGAAGGCCTATAAATGTTATTGCGCGTGCGCTCGTGTCTCTGAACTAGCTCCGCCTCTGCTCTAGAGACCGTTCCTGATAGGCACGCACTGCGCAGTGACGTCGGCAAGGCACGCAACGCAGTGACGAAATCTACTGGTTTATATTGGCGCGGCCCAAACGGCAGAGGCCTCTGCGGCGCGGTCCTCGCAGACGCGTCTGAACTCCTGTTTGACCATGGCGGACTACCTGATTAGCGGGGGCACGTCTTACGTGCCAGACGACGGGCTCACCGCACAGCAACTGTTCAACTGTGGGGACGGCCTCACCTACAAGTGCGGATCTAGGGACCTCATCAGGGCGAGACGAAGGGGCGGCGTGGTGGGCAAGGAGGCAAGGGAGGGCTTCAGTGAAGCTCGTTCGGGCGCAGTCGGGGGGAAAGCCTCCGGAAATTACCTCTCTGGGGCTCATTTTGACAGATAAGAGGAGGGGTTTCGGGTGGAGAGAGTCGTTTTGGCAGTACTTGGGACTTTTAACTCTCGATACTCTGTTCTCTGGACACGTGAAATTGTCAGTGTGCCGGTAACACTGTTGACAGCTCAGAGGCATGAGTCCCCAGTCTTTATTTCCACTAAGTGTCGTCTTGCCTGTGACACAAAGGCTCAGTCAGTGCCACTCCTTGGCCAGAACCTTATGGGATAAGATAATGGAACTGGTGTCTCTTCGTGTTTATAAAACTGAGTCCTCCCGCTTCATTCCCTCTCCAACAGTGACTTTCTCATTCTTCCGGGGTATATCGACTTCACTGCAGACCAAGTGGTAAGTACAAGAATAAACTGCTGAGGTGTTTGGGGTTTGTTTTGTTTTGGGTTTTTTTGTTTTGTTTTGTTTTTTTGGTCTTTTTTGAGACAGGGTCTCCCTGTAGCCCCAGCTGGCCTGGAACTCACAGCGATCCTGACTCTGCCTCCCAAGTGCTGGGATTAAAGGCGTGCGCCACCCGGCTGTTTTGGGGGTTTTTGAGTTTTGTTTGGTTTTGGTTTTCTTGAGACTGGATCTCCCAGTAGCCACAAATGGCCTGGAACTTGCCATGTAAATCAGGCTGGCTTCTGCTTCCGGTGTTGGGATTAAAGGCATGTGCCACCATGCCAGATGCTTGGGTTTTGTTTTTTTGTTACTTTTTGACACAAGGTCTCCCTGAAGACCCAGCTGATATTTAGACCGGGCTGGCCTCCATCTCACAGAGATCTGCCTGTCTTTGTGTCCCTCGAGTGCTGGAAGTAAATAGGTGTGTCACCACACCCAGCTTTTTTGTGCTTGTTTCTTTTTACATGTTTTGTTTTTGAAATGGGCCTTCCATATATAAAACTGTCACTTGTCTGGAACTCACTATGTAGGCCAGGTTGACTCCTGAGTGTTGGGATTATAGTATGCGTGTGCCATTATGCCCAGCCTATGAATTGGGTTCTAAACATCAAGAAAGCCTAAAGGTACAGTGTGGCAATCTCACGCACCATACGGGACTTAGGTGTAGATTCATTTCAGTGGTCTTTCTGGTGGACATACACATCACCTAGAGCCTCGGTTACCACCCTAAAGAATTAGGTATTTCCCTATATTTAGTGGTCCTTTGTTTCCTCAGGACTTGACCTCTGCTCTAACCAAGAAGATCACACTGAAGACCCCATTGGTTTCCTCACCCATGGACACAGTCACAGAGGCTGGAATGGCCATTGCAATGGCGGTAAGCCTCGTGGTGTATGAGAGGACAAGGCGGTAGTGACATCACCCTTCCCTGAAAATTTTTAAGTTGTGCCTCTTGTTATCCTTTGTTACTTATTCTCTCGTCTGTTCATCTTATAGCTTACAGGCGGTATTGGTTTCATTCACCACAATTGTACACCTGAATTCCAGGCCAATGAAGTTCGGAAAGTGAAGGTCAGAAGGGCAAGGATCATGGACAAGAGTTCCTGGGAATTGCACTGAAGTGGAGTGGGGTGGGAGTGGATGGTTTGTTCTGCTAGGAGTGCTTTCTGCCCACTGTGGGGTTTACTGAGAAAGACCCAAGACCCCATTTCTTTAACTAGTGGAAGTGTACCAGGTGCACAGTGCCTCCTGAGATACTGCCATACAGGGCACTTAGGCACAGACCATGTGCTTTATTTAGACCAGGAGCCTGAAAAGTGGTTTCAGAAATGTAATGATCTTCTCACCATCTCTTCCAGAAATACGAACAGGGATTCATCACTGACCCTGTGGTCCTCAGTCCCAGAGATCGGGTACGGGATGTTTTTGAAGCCAAGGCCCGGCATGGTTTCTGTGGTATCCCCATCACAGATACCGGCCGGATGGGGAGTCGGTTGGTGGGCATCATCTCCTCAAGGGACATTGATTTTCTCAAGGAGGAAGAGCATGACCATTTTTTAGAAGAGGTAGGTGCCATTGTCAGCATAGCCATAGTCTAACAACCAAAACTGAAGGCAGTTTCTTGCACCTAAATGAAATCACTGAGGGCCTCTTTTCTGCCCAGGAAAAAATAACTGCCCAGTCGTTCTTACTACATCTGACTTTCCCCCATCACTTCCCTGCAGGACTCAGTTGTCATGGTGTCTGCTAGCCTTCATGCTTCATTCTTTTCTACTCTTGAGGTGGAGGCAAGTGCTCAAGGACTGTACTGGTTCTTTCCATTGCTCTTGTGATTCTTCTCTGCAATAGAAGAGGCTGCTCCCTATGCCATGTTCTTTCTGTTCCATTCCAGTCTTCACTCACTCACATAGTAACTACTGAGTGCCCCTGAAAAGAAGGGGATGCATTGGGTTCAAGTATGTGACAGACATGGTCTTTTGTGTGACCTGGAGGGCTGGGCCAGGATCGGATCTGACTGGTCCTTCCCTCCTAGATCATGACAAAGAGAGAAGATTTGGTTGTAGCCCCTGCAGGCATCACTTTGAAAGAGGCAAATGAAATTCTGCAGCGCAGCAAGAAGGGTGCGTCTCAGGCCAGGCTTGGTGGTGCATGCATTAATCCTAGCACTTAGGACGCAGAGGCGGGGGCTAGCTGGGGATACTGGCAGACCCTAGAGGTGGGGAAGGGCCCAGAAATAATATTCAGGGTTCTGATTCATGTCCTATCCTGTTTTCAGGGAAGTTGCCCATTGTAAATCAAGATGATGAGCTGGTGGCCATCATTGCCCGGACAGACCTCAAGAAGAATCGGGATTACCCACTGGCCTCAAAAGATGCCAAGAAGCAGTTACTGTGTGGGGCAGCCATTGGCACTCATGAAGATGACAAGTATAGGCTAGACTTACTAGCTCTTGCTGGTGTGGATGTGGTGGTTTTGGTGAGCTACTGCATAAGTAGGGTGGGACTATAGGGTAATTGCCCATATCACAGTGTAGCCAGAACTTACTTCCTGTCCTAGGACTCTTCCCAGGGAAATTCCATTTTTCAAATCAATATGATCAAGTACATCAAAGAGAAATATCCCAATCTCCAAGTCATAGGAGGCAATGGTAAGACAAGACTGGGTACCTATGGGTAAGGGCAGGTGAGTTTTCTTCCTATGTAGACCCTCATGAGCTTTTCTGCTTCATGATAGTGGTCACTGCTGCTCAAGCCAAGAACCTGATTGATGCAGGTGTCGATGCCCTTCGAGTTGGCATGGGAAGTGGCTCCATCTGTATCACCCAGGAAGGTAATAATGTGCTTCAGCTGGTACCAAGCATCCTTAGGGGCACTACACTGAGTCCTCCAATGTGGACAACTCTAGGGCCAAACAGGCCTCTTGGATGGGTGACATGGCTGGAAGCAAGACAGGTTCTTGTCATCCCTCACCTGCCATTCCCTGCCTAGCCTGGCCTCCTTGCTCCTGCTCTGCACCCTCTCTAAACTCTGGTCTGTTTGTTTTATTTAGTGGCTCCCAAGATCCCTCCAGACATAAAGTCCCACAGCCCCAAATGCCCTTCTACTGTCACGGGCTGCTATAGTAAGTCCAGCCCGGCCCACTGGCCCGGCCCAGCTGCCCACTGCCCAGCTGCTTGGTTGACTGTAGCTGTAGCTCCCCGGGTTTGTGGTGCTATTGGGTGGGTAGGGCAAACAGATGTACAGACCACAGTTTGGGGGCTGATTAAGAACAGCTCCTTTCTGGGGTGCACACAGAACAGGACTTCCTTCCTAAGGCAGGCCCTGCTCTGCCCATGTACTCTGCAGTAGGCATGGCTCAGCAGCCAACTCAGGAGCCTAGCTCTCTTCTACTTTACCACTGCCCCAGTCTTGCCCAAGCTGCCCACTATGCAAGAGGGGCTAGGTCTAATATGCCTCCGAATACTAACTGCACGGTGACTCCTGCCCATCTGATACCAGTTGCTACAGAATGCATGTGCCTGAGGCTGCCCTGGGCCCTGCACACATGCACGAGCACACACACAGCACAGCTGTTTGTAATGATTCAAGACAGATGGGCCATCTCAGACACATCTTTTCGTCTGCTGTCAACTTGATATAGGTGTATTTAAGAGTTCCTGGGTCCTACAAGGGGCCCTTTGCCTCCCCAGATTCCAGCACTACCCACCCATCTGTTCATTTTTCAACAGTGTTGGCCTGTGGTCGGCCCCAAGCAACAGCAGTGTACAAGGTTTCAGAGTATGCACGACGCTTTGGTGTTCCTGTTATTGCTGATGGAGGAATTCAAAATGTGGGCCATATTGCCAAAGCTTTGGCCCTTGGAGCTTCAACAGGTGAGGCCTAGTATCCTGAGGGCCTTAGTGGTATTCCCTTCCCTGTACTGCTCAGACTGCCCCAAGCACTCTTGTCCATAGTCATGATGGGTTCCCTCCTGGCTGCCACCACTGAGGCTCCTGGTGAGTACTTCTTCTCTGATGGGATCCGGCTAAAGAAATATCGTGGTATGGGTTCTCTTGATGCCATGGACAAGCATCTCAGCAGCCAGAACCGGTATTTCAGGTATGATTCGCTGACCAATCACCCTACCCCAACTCTGTAGAGTCTCATTCCTGTTGTGACCTTGCCTGTTTCTTTGCCTTTTCCAACAGTGAAGCTGACAAAATCAAAGTGGCCCAAGGGGTGTCTGGGGCTGTGCAGGACAAAGGTTCTATCCACAAGTTTGTCCCTTACTTGATTGCTGGCATTCAGCATTCCTGTCAGGACATTGGTGCCAAGAGTTTAACCCAAGTCCGGTGAGATTGGGTAGCTGGGACATGGGTAGTGGGCTGTTCAGGGCCAGCTGCTATCTACATCTGATACCTGCCCCTCTTCAGAGCCATGATGTACTCTGGGGAACTTAAGTTTGAGAAGAGAACATCTTCAGCTCAGGTGGAAGGTGGTGTCCACAGCCTTCATTCGTAAGTAATCCTGTCCTTGGGTGGGAGCTTCTGCCATACCTCAGAACTCCTCTCCCCTGCCCTAATTTCACAGGTGCACTCTGCCTACAGGTATGAGAAGCGTCTTTTCTGAGGAGACCCAGGATATCCCCTCTGTTTTTCAATAAAAGTTTGAAAAAAAAAAAGTGATGCCTGATCTTTGATTTCAACAAGCATGTGGGCTTTGCAGCTACCACCACCACCACCACAGATACACACAAACATGGACCTGTAGTTCTGGTTCAAAATACTCTTGGGGACTGCTATCAAACTACTAGTAGCTCCTAAGGGTTCCTTCCATCTTGCACTGAGGTTCTGACTCTGGCTCCCTAGGAGGTAATCACAGTATATGAAACTGGCTTCCATAGAGCTTCCTGTTTGCCCCTGAAGCTTGGCCATATGGAATCAGGTGAAGACATGTGTACATAATCCCTAACTTAAAGTAGAGAACACTCCTAGCCTTTCAGGGACCAGAGAATCCCACATCCTCTTGTGGGGATGAAAACCTATTTTTCAAAGCGCCCCCCCCCCCCAGTGAC